GACTTCTGGCGTGTTTGATATTTTGCTCGTCCCTCGTGAGGGTATCGCACTGTTGAAGCGGTGCTGCGAGCAGCTGCGACCCAAAAAGTATCAGAACCGCTCACGGCGCATGCACAATCCTGCATCAACACCGCTTGCCCGCTATTTCCCTAATAACACACGTTGTTCGTTTTACTTTCTACATGTTTTTTTAATCACAAATATTGTCAAGAAAGCATGTTTGTCGTGTTCATGTCAAATTAAACTGATCACAAAACACAGATTTACTTTCTTTATTTCGTTTCCTCATCCAACCCCCATAAATCCCGGTGTGTCCCCCTGCAACGCTCCCGAAGGACAACAGGCAAAACAAGACAAGAAAGTCTAACGTGTTGAGTAAAAACTGCTATTTTTAGCATATTTTTAGGTCCGACGTGTTGCTACCAGACGTACAGTGTGAGCAATCAGGTCGCATCCGAGAACTGGGTCGTGCAGTGTGAGCGCATGACTCGTGAGATCTGCCCTGCGAGGAAGTCGTACAGTTTGAGCTGAAGCTACGAGTGTTAAAGTCGCACAGTGTACGCCCGGCTTAAAAAAGTCATTTGACCTTTTGTATCCTCCAAGTCCTCCACCTCAGACTCTACAGAACAAAGGTCAAAGGTTATCGCAACTCTGCTTTGGTAAAGTTTCATTTGATCAAACTACAAGAAAAAGTTTGGCCATAATGCTCTGCAGCCAAGTAGGAAAATACCCACAATCAGAGAGTATTAGCACAAACACCCTATTCCAACAGTCAGCACAGCGGTGTAGGACTGATGGTTTGGGCTGGTCCTGCATTCACTTTGCCCACCATGAACTCTCCTGACACCAAGTGCTCTGGACTTCAATATGGCAGCAGCTGTCTGGTACCTGTTCAGATTAATAATTTTAGCTAGAAAAACACAATGTTTTATTTACTTCAGAATAATGCATGAGTTTCAGTTTGTCTAGAATTTGCCGCACTGTAATAACAGCAGCTAGCAGATCTGTGGGGTTTGGTAACGATGAAGCAGAACCAGAGGTTTCATAAATGAGACTTTATTTCAGTTATAATTTAGCTCACATGAACCACCATGGGTCTGCTGGGGGACGTCCTTCTGAATAATCACATCGGACATGGAACATTTTGTGTCATGCCACTCAAATAGTTTCTGAGTTTCCTGTAATGCCAGTGTTGTTTTGTTGAAAGCTGTGAGAGAACTGCCATCTGAAATGTGATTACCTTTGTTATGGTTGGTTTGGTTGTGGTTCGGGCATCTTTGTCTCACTTGTTGAACTCCATGTCTTCACTGGGTGTGACACCGCAGTGGATTAGTTCTGGTATGACTCATCTCTCTGAGCGGATCTGTGAGAACCGTTCTTGTTTTTCATCAAAACATTTAATCTTCCACCAACATGATATGTCTTGTTTATGACATTTTAAGAAAACTTTGGAGCCAAAGAATGTAGCAAACCAGATCTCTCTCTCACACACACACACACACACACGCACGCACGCACGCACGCACGCACACACACATAACCCAAAACAAATAAAACCAAGATGGCAGCATTAAAATCCTTTTGGGTGGGTTATTGGGCACCATTTCCATTAGACCAAAACTAGGCCCCAAATCCAGAACAGTTTACTTGATTAGAAACGAATGACTTTCTGGATCACTGACTAATCCCAAATGACTAACCCCTGAACTATGAGGAACTAAATGGAATCGGTTTATTTTAACCCTTTGATGTATAATGGTCACTACAGTGGACAGGTACTCAAAATTGTTATTTATTTGTTTTTGCCATGAAGCACAGCTGTTGAAGACTTTATTGCATGTGAGCCCCTCCATTTGGACTTCAGTAAGCCAAGCCAACATATTTCATGCTCAGAACGCACGCTGTCCACTGAGGTGGACATGTAATAAATTATTTGTAAATTATAAAATTTTATAAAAAATATTTGTTGAAATTTGTTACATTCACACCTAAAGATGAATGAAAAAAATGGTTGAAACAATCATGGTTGAAGATTTCATAATTCATGCATCAAAGGGTTAATCCTCCTCTCACTGGTTTGTTGTTGCGCCACCAGAGTCACCTATAAACCCTGGGGTGGATTTAAACATTATTAGAGAGCGCCTTGATGGTGAGCACCTTGACGGCTGCTCTCGTGGTCTGCCTGTAATAACCTTGGACAGGATGTGCTGTGGAGACAAATTTCTATGCTTCAGGACGCTGAGGCAATGACAATAAAGTTGATTCTGATTCTGATTATGGAATAGAGTGGCACACCCAAATGAACAGAAACCCAAAATAAAACACAGAAATTAAATTTGTGAACTGTCTGGCTGTTGTATGGTTTCAAATAAAGAGATTAATGTTGCAGTATTTATCTATTTATCACAGGCTTTGTGGAAGAAAAAATAATCTTAGCAGCATCACTGAAGCCCAAAGAGACTAGTTTGAGATTCTGGCGACAGATGAAGAGTTTCTGTAGGGGGCCCAAGTCTCCTCTTCTTCAGGTCAGCTCCTGGGCCCCCGGAAGAACGAAAAAAATTGAATACAAGTCAGTGGGGCTACAAGAGCTATTATCTAATCTGTTTTGTCTTACGCCCTGGATCACACAAATGTTATATTTAAATTTAAATGAAAAGTAATGAAATTTTTTTCGACCACGCCTGTCACGTACTTTGAGATTTGTCAGCTCGTCAAAATTTGTAATTACTGTGATTACAAATCAGACATCGGCACATCGCATATGTGACGTCACCACATAATCTCCTCTCCACTAGCGTAGCTTCTACCTACCAGATGGCCAGATTTATGGTGGTTCTTTCCTCCTGAAGGAAGGATTTGACGTTTGCTGAACTTACATCCCTCTGCTTTTCTTCGTGTCTGGTTTGATGACGTCATTTTTGTTAAGCGCATTTGTAGTCCTGGACTCATTTTCCCACAAAACCTAAAATAACGTTCCCCCGTTCCAAAATCAGCACTTTGTTGGTGTTAAAATTCATCTTTAAATTTCACGGACATCATATTTGAAATCCAACAAGAGGAATTAGGAAATAGCATTTTTAGCCACATTGACTTGCATTAATTTTTTCGTTCTTTTGGGGTCCGGAAGCAGATGCGAATGACTTAGGCTCCATTTATGAAATCGCATATTTTCTGAACCTAGTCAGTCCTGTCTAGGGTTATGGGGTAGAGCCTTTCTCAGGAGTCTAGAGGTGAAAGAGGGATGAACTCTGAGTAGGACACCAGTTCCTCATTGGACCAACACACGGACACACAAACACCTAAGGTCAGACCTTAGGTGACCTTGTAACCATGTCTTTGGGCTCCTTTTAGGTTCTGACTCTTGTTTAACCAAGGAGAATGTCATGAACTCCTCCTCCTCCTGATCTCCTCTGCGGGCCGGGCTGACGGGGCACTCCATTTCCCAGCATTCCCGTCACTGACGCTCTCGGTGACATCACCCGGCGGAAGCTATATAAGGAACTGTCACTGCTGAGCTGTCATTCAGTCATCATCTCATGACAGACGCCAAACCGAACCGATCCAAATCTAACCCAAAACCAATCCAGGAAAGTGATCTTTCCACGCTGTCTAACCCCCACCACGACAGCACCCTACCAAACGGAACCGCAGTACAGCCTCATTGTCTCATGTGTGCCGTACTGCCGTCCTTAGAGCAAGCTGCGTGTTCTGTTCGGACCAAACGCCAGCCTCTCCGCGTCTGGGTCACACAGCCACGCTACATTACCTCCGCTACACTCCAGTTCAGCACACCGAACCTGACAGAGAACATGTGAACCACTGACCCGTGCATCAGCCACGATAACCCGTGACTCCCCATTCAAACGGATCTGGACCATCTCATCTACGTTCCTTAAAGTTTCTGAGCCACTGTGTTTACCACTTGTTTTGAGAAGAGTGGACAGCTAGTTTACCATTAAAAGGAATCCCAACTGCAAACTTAAATGTGGAAGAACAAAGAGATAAAATTATCTCAGAAATCAAATGGAAGAGTCAGAAATGAAAATAGTTTCATGACATCAGGTTAGATTTTAAGGTGTGTAACATTTCAGACTCAGCCTGGAGGCTGTGACTTCTGGGACATACTCCTGCCTGTCACCAGCTATAATGTCGCTAAACACAAGTTAAACTAAATTGAACAACAATACAAAATCGTTGATGAGGACTTTCCTTACAATTCTTCACGAAAAAATGAATTTAAAAACAACTAAGCAAACAAACAAACAAACAAAAAAAAAAGCCTAACAACACAACAGCTTTAAGCATTTTAATATTTGTACTGCCAAACTTTTAAAACCTTATTCCTCTCCTGCTCTGTCCGCCATTAACAAAAATCTCTGGCTGGCCAGACATTGTGGTCTAGGGTGGGCAGTAAGGATACGCCTCAAAATTTGAGGAAAATTTGTGATAATGTGGCCTTGGAAGGATGGACACAGCCAGAACCTCACAGAGACATCCATCCAACAGCTGGCACCAGTCTGAAACACTTATTTCTGCATTTGGCAGCATCCTCCAAACCTCTCAGGGCTATGTGAATAAGCAGTTCTTTCCATCAAACATTTCATTATACTTATTATACTTGAAACAGCAGGTCAGCCTAGTAGAGGACATGCTATTCTTCTCAGCCAAAAGGTGTCATGTTTATTCTGCTCCCTAAAACACAGGAAGGGAGGGATCGATAATGATTACAAGTGCTGCAGCTAAACAACTACCAAATAATTATTCAAGGCTGCAATTCTTAGTGTTGTAAAAATGTTATAAATATATATATAAATATATGTGACAAAATCAAATATGAATAAAGTTAAGGGTGGAAACACCAACCTACAAACAATCGGCTGCACCTTTTCACAGGTAAAGGAGTAGAGAACACCTGGCTTTGTTCATTATAGAGGATTATATCGTCAGCCTGAGGGCACAAGAGAGAACGGTTAGTCATATTTCTTGTGAAGTGGCTGGTGCTGGCTTGTTTCTGGTTGGGTCACCTGGTGAGAAAGGCCACTACCCACCTTTTTGTGTGTGTGTGTGTGTGTGTGTGTGTGTGTGTAGGGGGTGGGGGTGTTTGTTGCTTAAAAGTATTTCTGTTCCGTCTGTTTGGTTTGATAAGACCTGCCTGAGCTGTCAGGACTCGTTTCACTTTGTCCAGCTTTGGATCTTTCCCATGATGGTTCCACGTTCCTTGAACTGGATTGTTTTGCTTGTTTTTGTGGTGAGTTCAAATTTATTTAGATGTTTTTATAAGGTGACTGTTTTAAATGAACAAGTTGATAGATGCTGCTCATATCTGGTTCTTTTTTTTTGCCCTGAACATATTTTTCCTGTACTTCCCGTAAATAGACATTTGACGTGAGTTTGAACTGCCGGACCTGAACTCGGTCCACGGTTCTGTGTTCTGCTTCAGCGGTGTTCCGATGGGCTAGTGAATTTAGACTACCGGCTCACTTGGTGTCAAAAAAGATTAGCCTAGGCTAGTTTCATTGGCACATTTATCTCCAGAGTTTAAAATTAATATTTACACTGTGACTCAATCATTATAAAAACGACTTCACCCTCAGTAGGGTGAGAGTCGGGGGACATCCTGGACAGGTCTCCAGTCCATGACCGGACCACGCAGAGACAAACACACTCACACCCTGACATGCATGTTTTTGGTCTGTTGGAGGAAACTGGAGGACCCAGAGCACGGGGTGCATAGAAACTGTTCCACCATGCTGTCTTTAATGTTTACAATGAAGTCTAAATGTACAAAATGACACTTAATTTCTCACATCCATAACTAATTGGAAAGTGTTAAATATAAACATAGAAATACACAGGAAATGTGACTTTGAAATATTTATTTTTGAATGTAAATATACATATAAATATGAATATAAATATTAAATGTTAAATTTAACTCTAAATATAAATGTTATCTTAGATGTGTTGTTGTTAAACTATCTATTTAACGAACAAGCAAGTTAAGATTGAAGCAGCAGTAGCTTACCAAAATAAAAGCCGAGTGAGGAGAGAAGAGCTGAATACAACTGTAGCTGTGCTTGTTTGAATATAATAAAATAGCTGCGGTAAAAAATTTTTTACGTGGTAATTCACAAATGTTGCCTTGTAAACCAGGAACCTAATATTTTTGCAAAGGTTTTATTGTAAGAGAGGTGTCCAAACTTTTCAGGATGCGTCAAATTTACTGTCCTTGCAGGCTACAAAATAAAAATTATTAAACTTAAAAATGCAGTTGTTATTCCACAGATATAAAAAATTTGTAATGCACAAAAATAGACTTCAAGTTACTAAACATTGGACTATAAAATATTACAAATGTATTCATCTACATCTAATGTTCAAGAGATGCAATTAGGGCCGTGCAAAACCATTTTGAGGGTCATAAACGGCTCCGGCTGGGGCAAGTCGGACTTAGTCCAGCAGAAGCTGAAGCTGATTCCTTAGAAGTCAAAGCAAGTCTAGAAACAGGACAAGAACAAAGAGAGCCTAAAAAAAAAAGAATACAAGAAGGAAATCACAGTAGGTCTGTCTCGGGTCACCGGAGAGAGGAATATTCTGGTCTACGTGAAACATGTATGGAAGAAAGTTATTAATGATCTTTATGTTTTTAAACGAACAAATCAGTTTTATCTATTGATTGTATAATAAAAGTTAGGATCCCTTTTGTTTCCCAGAACTTGGAGCTGCATCACTTTAGAGGTGTTCCAGAAAAAGTTTGATCCTACATTTGTTGTATTCTGATTCCAATCACAGGTCAGAGAGACAAGTTACCTCCACAAATATAGTCTGATTACTCACGCAGAAGCCTCAAAATCAGCAGTCTAGTTTACTAATGCTGTCTAAACCTTTCTGTTTTAAATGGTTGGAGTTTAAAACAAAGCTTCAACCAGGATCCATAAACATGACATTAGGAAAGCAGAAAAGGCCTATGAACTTCTTTTTTGACATTGTTTATTATTTTTATTCAGTTAAAAACGGTAACTGGAGGCAGTTCCACGTTGAGCTAGGTGAAAAAAAAATAAAGATCTGTTTTTTGTATTAAATGGTTGTCTCAGTACTTTTTCATTTTAACACTCCAGCTTCTAACGTAGAACTTGCTTTGAGTTGTGGGGCGGCTGTGGCTCAGCGGGGAAGAGCAGCTTCCCACGTATTAAAAAGGGAGAGGTTCAGTCACGATACATCATAAAGAAGAATTCGTTTCCCCAAGGGGATTGATTCCATTTCTCTATTAAAAAACGCTACAGTGCTTTCATAAAATGTACCAATTCCACACAAAAATATCTCATATTTTAAGAATAACGACAAACCCAAAAATACGGACACCGTGTGCTTTGTTAGTGAGCTAAAATTGTGTCATGAAAATCTAAAATCTAAAAATATAAACCTAAAATATTTCCATGTTTCTGTAAAATAAATTCCCTAAATTAAACATTTCACATAAGAGAATTCCTTCTGTAAAACAAATGAGCTCCACATTTGGACATAAAAGCTCTCTACATTTGTTATTACATAAGAGTAAAAAGTGCAAAGCTCCTGTGTCCTGTTTGGCTTAACGATGATCTTGTTCAGGAAGACAAAGTTCATTCTGTCGATGGCTTTTCTTTTTTCACAAGGACCCACAAAATCTTTAATAAACTCGTGACCACCATTTGCTGATGTGTTTCATGTGGAACAGTTACCTAAGGGGAAAAACTCCAACTAAACTAACTGAAGACTTTTCTCCCAAATCTCAGATCCTGTTTGGATCATGTTCCGTTAAAAACTTTGTATTTGGTGGGAAATGTGGCGAACGCAAGAAACCTGCAGCTTCAGGTCTCCACAATGACGCCACATGCACTCATGCATGCACACAAAGCAACAGACATACTGCTGTCAGTTTTTAAAGCCTTAAATGTCATTTTTCCTTGTTAAAATGTGATTGTTTTATTGGCGGCACTAACTCGTGGTGGCGTTCAGACCTGCTTTAGCTATGTAACTGGTAATGTAAGCGCTCAAGCATCTGAGTCAACGAGCTGATGCTGTTCCTGCTATTCTGACTTGTGGTGAAATGATGAATTTCTTCTTACATTAACCAGATTAAAAGGGAAACCAACTCATATAATATTATAACAAATTATGAAAAACATTGTAAACATGGAACTCTCAACACTTCCAATAGCCTCCAGCTCCTGATGAAAGTGTTACCGTGTTTCAGTCCTGACATGTACACAACTCAATTAGTGTTAAGCTAAAAGAAATATCTAGTCAATCATGTCACGATGCGGTGTTGGAGGACCCAAAATTCAGAAACCCAGGATGACACAAGGCAGAGGTTGAATAAAGAAAAATCCTTTTATTTTTGCATGATAAAAAACCCCCAAGTAAATCCAAAGGCTGGGAGCCAAAGTCCAAACAATCCAGAATAAAGATCTGGAAATCCAAAATCACGAGGGGCACTAGAAGACATAACAGAACTACAAACAATGGACCAACACAAGACAGAGACAAGACAGGGCTTATATAGACTGGGAAGAGGAGAGGGAGAATGATTGCAGGTGTGTGGGGAGAGGGACCAGCTGAACACAATTACTAAATCAGGGAGGAGGAAGAAAACACTGGTGGGAAAAACGCACGAAATACTGAAAGGCTGTAACAAAGGGAAATGACCTAAGAGAAAAAACAAAAGACCAAAAGACATGAACCATACCTAATATACTAAGGGGAAGCTGACACTAAAGGAAAACACTACAGAAAGAAAACTACAGGGGCGTGGCTAAGAGGGGGCCAAGAGAGCACAGGACATGGGAAAGGGATGTCTGAGGGAAGGGCTCACACACACACACACACACATACACACATATAAACTCACATTCACATATACGCACTAATACACAATACACTCACACCGAACTGGGGCAGGACATGCACCCACACACACAAATAAACTCACACACACACATATATACTGAGCTGGGGAACAAGAGGCTGGAGCTGCAATTGGAGGGACGGAGGATAACTAAATGAACACCGGACCAGAGGGAAGGAAACGAAGGCCTAAAAACAGAAAACACATAAATGAGACGCAGACAAAGGACACATGAGGGCGCTATGAGACACAGAAGGGAATCCAGATAGGGATGGAGAACACCAGGAGGCACATGAAGGGAGGGGCAGACGCAGACCATGACAAACCAATCATATAGCAACATTTATGTATATAGATGTGGTAAAGAAGACCTGGTAGCATTGAGAAGGGAGATTTAAGGGACTTTGAATGTGGCATCGTTGTTTTGGCTGGTGTGAGTACTTTAGAAACTGCTGATCTTCTGGGATTTGAACCCACGACAATCTCCTCTAGCTCATTTAGAGTTGTCTCTCACTCAAATTCTGTATACCTTTTCTTAACCTTTGCATGTATAGACATACTTTCTGATCATACTGAGAGGAGAACCATACCTGCAGGACATGTTAGCGTATTGAAATGTAGGCGTATTAAATGGTCTTCATGCACGAGGCCCAAAATCTCTCAATCCAGTCCGGAACGACTGGGATTAACTGGAGATTTACATATTGGATGTGCTGCTGAGCAGTTTGTAGCAACAGTGGGACACTTTCATACAGCGTAGACCAGAACTACTTTTTCTCCTCATTATCTACCGTGTCCTATATGCAAGTGTAACAATCAGAGTTGTTGTTTGATTGCCACAAACAAGCCTTGCAGATTACGTTTCAGGAGTGGAGTGTTGCTCCAGTTGATATGTTTTTAGAAAAGTTTTGTCAGGACTGCTTTTGGTTTATTTTAATCCAGACGGAAAAGAAAGAGAAAAGAGGAAGAAGAAAGGTAGAGAGGTGAGGGACAATGTGAAGAGGAAGAGAGATTACAAGGAATCTACTTCTAGACCTGCAGAAAGAGAGAAAAGAAGCAGAGAACTGAACTATCACAGCAACAGTCAACATGCGTGTACAACAATAACAATGTCAGTAAAAAGCACACAGTACTGAGTGATGCAAGGTGTATTTAGAGTCAACTGCAAAGCATTTCTGAGAACACCAGAGTCCACACATGAATGAATACCTTTGTCAACACCTGTGTGTGTGTGTGTGTGTGGGTGCTTGTGTACATAAGGTTTCTCAGTAGGAGTGCTTGATAGCAGAACTGAACTTTTGAAGAATGTTTCTGAAGAAAAAGGCGGGTCTAACTCAGTACTAGCAAAGCTAGCTAATAATGTGGTCATTGAATATAAACTAGACCCAGGCTGGACCATTAAAGCTGTTAATGCGTCTAGCTGCCATTAACCAGTGATAAACACCCACACCCAGCGTGCTCAGACCCTGTTTCCACAAACAAAGCATAGCTGTGCCAGTGAATGGGACCTCTGTGTTTCACTTTTAACCAACAAAAGGGGGAGGAGACACTTGGCCCGATTATTTACATGCTGATGATGCGGCCATTGCCAGATACGGCACCGGTTGCGCGCGTCAAACAGTGACGCCAGCGGAGCCACGTGATCCAGCGTGTCCCTGATCGTCGTCTCCTGATGCGCTGGGGCGTCCTGGATCGTCATATATTAAGGCTTGGTCACACGCGTCATATTTTGACGCCTTGGGTGTGAGAATATGTTGGTTTTCTAGTGCTAGCGCTCGAGATGTTGCTGGTGGATCCTTTTTTCATTTTTCTAAGGAAGCTTGAACTCAATCGGAGGACCCGCTTCCTAAATGAGAGACAGTGTTCCAAAATCTGTTCATGTGTGGATTTAAACTTTCATGTCTAGGCTTTTCTTATCGATCTGTGTTTTCATCTTTTTACATGAAATTAGGGCTGGAGAGCTGCAACTCCATCAGTCAGCCAGTGTGTGTGTGTGTGTGTGTGTGTGTGTGTGTGCGAGCATGTGTGTGTGAGTGTGATGGTGGAGAAGATGCACTAATTAGTAGAGGTGTGCATCTCTACCTGCCTCACGATTCGATCCGATTCCGATTATCTGCCTAACGATTCGATTTGAGTCTGAAATGCATCACGATTCTTCACACAAACATTTTCATTACTTAATAAAAGCAGTAGAATAGTTTTCAATTTCTTTTTGATTTCGAAATCCCTGAAAAACAGAACATTCATCTATTTACTATAGTGAGCAATATTTTTTAAAGTGTGCTGCCTATAATTACTTAAATAAAATAAGAAATAATGTTTTCGGTAGAGCAGCTTTAAGATAGAATATTACTGAACTTAAAAATAGTAAACAAATACTGTGTTAAGTGATTCTTTCACATCCAGGATCCCAAAACCGAAATTAGCCCAGACATCCGATTTAAATGTAACGGGTAAATCTTTGATTACTGGTAATGTTGGCCCTGTATCCCTGTCCGCCTTTTCTGTTTTAAATTGCTGCTAGGACAATGCAGTGCGCATGTCATTGCAACTCTGCCCCCAGAAGTAATTATAAAACCTCAAAACTTTATTGTCCTCGCATAGACATAGACATAGGGAGAAAATGTCATTATGTCACGTTGCTGCATCGATGCGGAATCATGCACGGCTGAATCGCGATGCATCTTAGAATCGATCATTTTTCCCACCTCTACTAATTAGCTAAAACTATTTGCTGAATGTTTGATCTTGTGTTCCAGCTACAGCTTGTTGCTGCCGTGGGGGCAAATCCTGGAAACAGTCCAGTCAGGAAAAAAAGAGACTGGATTCTCCCTCCAAAGATTCTGAGAGAAAATCAAGATTACACAAAAGAGCTGTCAATCGCCAGGGTGAGTCAAACATTTACTCAACTTCCTAATGAAACTACAGAAAGAAGGGAAATGTGTGTATGTGTGTGTGTGTGTGTGTGTGTTTATCACATCTCTCCTACTGAACAAGTGTTCTTTTGTTTTAGGTCCGATCAGACTTTGATTATGGGGAAAATGTTGTGTACTCCCTCAGAGGTATAGGTGCAGACAAACCTCCCTTCCATTTGTTTGTAGTCAATCCTGCGAATGGAAACGTTCGAGTGACAGATGTCCTCGACAGGGAGAAGATCGACTTGTATGTGGTGAGTTTGTTCAAGCAGTAGCTCCAACACTCAAGTCATGCTATTTGAACTGGTACCTAAAACTGTAATGCTGAAAACCAAAGAATTAAAAAATTATTATGAATTTTTCGGACTAAAAGCAAACATGTTTTAAAAGACATGGAAATAGGAGCGTAAGAAATTAACTGAGAAACAAGTTTTTAGGCCCGAGCAGCAAAAGCGCTATGAAGACCTGTTGTTTTCCAAATGTTTCTTATTATTCTTGCTGCAAGTGAATAGTCTTTTTGGAGTCTTTAACATATTCAATTTACTTATTGTTTTTGAAAATGATCAGTCACTCTGAGTTTTTCATGCAGGCTGAACGTGAAAATAGTCTCCTGCACCTATCCCCTGCATTAGCTTGTGATAGAAAAGAGGCGGTGAAACTCAAAGATTTGAAAAGCCTGACTGATCTACATCACTTAACATTCATGGTCTCACCCATCTTGGCTCACGACGGGGAAGGCTGTTGTTGTTTTTAATCAAATCAAATCAACTTAATTTATAAAGCACTTTCATGTGCCCAAAGCGGAAAAACAAAACATGTTTTAACGCCCAGGAAACAACAGAGAACGTCTCGGCTAGTATAAATTAACCGTTAGCGTTAGCAACTCCACCACACAGCAGAGCTCCTCCAGGCTTGTGTTATTTTTGGAGATTAGACATTAGGGATGTGTATTGGTGAAATTCTGGCGATACGATACTTATCACGGTACAGGGGAAACGATACGATATATCACGATATATTGCGATACATTCAGTCGGACAATTCTCTACTGTCCACTCCTTGTTCCCTCCTCTCCATGATTGATGTCAGGTTGTTGTTATTGTTGTTGTTAGCCTCAAGGGCAACATGCTGATTATCACTTGTAAGTCACTTTGGACAAAAGCGTCTGCTAAATACATAAACATGAACAATTATAGCGATTTTTTTTAGACTAAAATTATTATAGGAAAATTCAATAAATGGTCCAAACTGATACTTAACACGATTAACATGAGGTATCTGAACCATAATGAGGGATTTACATTTCAGTGGTGGAAACTAACGCCATTGCACCCTACTGCTGACTAGCGGACGGCATTTGATTTGCACCAAAAGAAAAGAAAATACACAAATGTTTGCACGTAAATTCTTCCAAACAATCGATACACAGCTTTTGAACATCAATATAATATCGCAGGAAAACATATCGCGATATATTGCTATATCGATATCTTCTTACATTCCTATTAGACATCAACATCGCAAAGCAAACAGTCAGTGGTAGATTCACGTTGCTGTTAGCCAATTAGAGGCGAGATATAAAATCATCAAGAAATAAGACTTCAAATCGTGTTGTCTGAAGCTGCTTTTTCCTCTGGCTGAAGTCTCCATGCAGAAACAGGTGCACCGGAGCTTTTATTCCCCAGAGAATAACTTACAAGGCATTCCTTCCTACAAGAGACCACTTCGAATGTTATGAAGGACCTCTTTAAGCTAAAACTTTTTAAGTGTCTTGCAAAATCTTTTTTTTCTGTAGTTATACATTTCTTGTGTCTTGTTACATTTTCTTTGGTGGCTTGGTTGTATGGTTCCATTTGTAGTGTGTGACAGTAAGTGTTGCCTCTCGGTGTTAAGTTTTTATTATAATAAATCAAACAATACTCAATATCCTATCCTCTGCTTTTTTTTTTTAGCTGTCAGGCTACGCTACATATAAAAATGGCACAGAAGCAGAGAAAAAAATTGATGTTCGAATCAAAGTTGAAGATGAGAATGACAATCCTCCAGTATTTGGAAAGATTCCTGCTTGTATGGTAAAAGAACGCAGTCCCAAAGGTTAGTGATGTGACAAAGGAATATTTTTTTATAGATAAACCTATTGTGTTTTATTAAAAAATATAAAGCTTTTCATCCTATCAAGGGTAAATTTCATTAAACCTGCATGTAGTTTAGAAAATAATAAAAGTAAATTTCAACCATTTTGACGTGTGTTTGAAAACTTTATAAATATTCCTACCGTAAAGAGCAACATGTAAGAAGTGTTACAAAAGTAGTATAACATGAAAAAGTTGATTTATTTCAGTAATTTCATTCAAAAAGTGAAACTTGTGTATTAGATTCATTCATTACACACAGAGACTAATATATTTCAAATGTTTATTTCTAGGGATGCTCAATTCTGGCTTTTTAACCAATATTCAGTGTTGTCTAACTCTTAATTTCCAATATCGATAAAAACTGATACTGATAAATGCAGAATCCCCTTTAATAAAAATAATAATAATAATTTTGACTGCTAAAATTACATATCTCTTATCATGCATGCTTAAGCTTTAAACATTATGGGGCAGCAGTAGCTCAGGTGGTAGAGCGGGTTGCCTCATTATCGGAGGGTCATGGGTTCGATTCCAGCTCCCGCCAGGGGTATCCTGCTGTTGTGTCCTTGGGCAAGACACTTCACCCAACTTGCCTGTGTTAGTGGTGGTCAGAGGGGCTGACAGCGCAAAATGGCAGCCTCGCCTCTGTCAGACCTCCCCAGGGCGGCTGTGGCTACAAGCAGCTTACCATCACTAGCTGTGTGTGAATGTGAGAGTGTGTGAAAGTGTCTTTGGGTGTCTAGAAAAGCGCTATATAAGTTCAATGCATTATTATTATATTATTATTATCTGTACTAAATTGCAACAACTTCAATTTAAGTTAGTCTTCAACAGCAGCTGAATGACATTCTCCGAGATAATTCGGACAAACACTCAGCGCTGCCAAAAGATAATTATTGAGTTCATGATGGAAATTGTTTGATCAATAATAGGCGCAAAGAGGGGCCGAGTCCGGCCCGCGGGCCGCCTATTGAGTACCGCTGGTCTAGTTTCTCTATCTGGGAGATTGTGTGTGTTCAAATTTACGGTGGGGTCATATCAAACTTGAAGAAAAAAAAGGGGATCCATTGCCTCCCTGCTTGACCCTGAGCATTAAGGGGTTTGAACTGGGGAGTTAATCCACCACTAGGCCCCTGATAGCAGCTGTGTCTGCAGCTCACCGCTCCCCCAGGCAATGGGTCAAATGCATAGACTGGTCAAATGTAGAGAACAAAATTCACACACCAGTGTGACAACTAATGAGACTTTGGTGGCTTTTAACTTTAATCATGTTGGAGGAAAGGTTATTGAAACTGATTTTATTCAAAAACTGAAAAGCGAATGTAGTAAATGCAGAGAAACCTCTGAGTGAAATTGATTTCTAATTTTAAATTCTGAAGATTGCTTTATGTCTCTACAGATATGTTAGTTGAGTGGTAGCTGTGCATCGATGAAATAATGAAAGTAAACATTTTGTTTAAGTTATTGTCATGTCAATAAGTGCGTATGTTGAAATCAATTGTAGATTGATGATAAAATAACTGTAGCTTTTATTGTGAAACTGGCTATATTAGTTACATATAGTAATGACCCTGCCCACTGTGGAAGCTGTCATCTTAAATCAGCTATAATCGGCCTTCAAATGTTGCCTTAGACCAGTGGTTCCCAACCTTTTTCCCAAGGGACCCGTTTTTTACCAGTAAAATTTTTGACGACCTCCTCCCATTCTCTCTTCCAGTACAAACAATATTAAGAAATGATAAAATTGTTCAAGCACATTTTAATATGATTTGATTCAATAGATAACAGTAATAGTAGGCTCCAGTACAGAACAAAGTCATTAACAAAACCAAACAGAGCATAATGTGCTTGACAGTTTGTATTACTTTTCTGAACACATTGTTTCTTGTAAACACTGATAAATCAATCATTCCTTTCAATAAACGTTTGACATATAAAAAATACACTGAGCAAAATGTACTTAAATGTGTATATTACTGTTTATACTAGATTATTTACTGTAAAGGCTGTGATTAATCAACCAGTCCTATCTTTAATGAACTTTTGACACTTGAAAATAAAACAATGAGCTGAGCAAAATGTTCTTAAAAGTGTGTTACTCTTTCTGTACTAATTATTTCCTGTCTTAATGTCAGTAAACTTTTCACCCATGAAAAAAAAATGTGAGCAAAATGTAGGCTATAAACAAGTAATAATTTAAGTTTTAACCCCTTAAAGTGGAGAGGTCCTGGCGACCCACTGAGAGGCTTTGGCGCCCCCTTGTGGGGGTCGGAACCCCAGGTTAGGAACCACTGTCTTATGGGCCATTCCCATCTGTACCGGGTCGGCCCGGGCCGGGTAGCCACAGTCGGCCCCAGCCTGGCCCGGTTGATTCCACACATCCTTGCCTTAAGCCCATGTGGGCTGATTCTACCCACCAATCAGAGGCTTGCTCTAATGGAAGGTGTGAATTTGCTGTCAGCAGTGGGTGTGTTGGCCCTGGTCGGCCTGAAGCAGACCCCCTCGAGAAGAGGGCTGAGAATGAGCCTTGGTTGGCCCGGAAAAATACCAGGCCACCCAGATATGTAAACAACCTATGCTACCCGGCCCGGGCCGACCCGGTACAGATGGGAATGGCCCATTAGAAGGATGCAGCCCCTGAAGGTTTGACACAGCCCTCTCTAAACAGAGGCTATCCAGGAAGCTATTTACAATGGGTAATTGAAAAAAAAGCAATTCTAACTTTTAGTCAGAAACCCACTTCAAATGGCTAAATGACCCCTTTTAAGTAACCAAATTTAGTTGGACTTTGAACGATTTTGAGAACACAATAAAGGTATCACCGAACTATCAAATGGTTCCCTCTTATAAATAACATCAAACAGAATAAAATGAAATGCTAAAATGTCTTTATTTCATGCTGTTTTTACAGGGACTGTTGCTATGACACTCAATGCCACCGATGCTGATGAAAAAAACAACGTGAATTCTAAAATTGCCTACTCTCTCATATCTCAGCAACCATCTCAAGGCGTTTTTAATGTAAACAAGGATGGTGCCATCTACATCCAAAACGCCGTGCTGGATAGAGAGGTATCGACTTCACCAACACCCAACGCTCTCATCACATGCTCATCGGCGACTGTGTGGTGGTGATGGTGTGGCTTCACAGTGAAGTAGATCTTTGCAGTCAGATCATTTCTTGCATCACACTTTCCAAAGTTTTTATATAAGAAAACTGCAGAAATGGTTTTCGACTCAGCTCTCTTTTGAGTGAGTATGAAGAATATGATAGAAGTCAGCTACAGGATACATATGTTTCACACGGTGAAGTTTTCACACCTTATTACTTAGGCTCCAAGTGTTGTCATGGTCTGTGTCTGCGTCTCCTTCATGTGTCTCCTGATGTTTCTCCATCCCTCTCTAGATTCCCTTCTGTGTCTCATTGTGCCCTCATGTGTCCTTTGTCTGCGTCTCAGTTATATGTCTTATGTGGTAGCCCTTTAAAATCATTCCTCCCAGGTCCTGTGCTTTGTCCCCAGCTCGGTGCGTGTGTATCATTCCCCTGCTCAAGAGTTTGTGTGTGTGTGTGTGTGTGTGTGTGTGTGTGTGTGTGTCCTTCCCCATCTCGGCGTTTGTGTGTGTGTGTGCGTGTCCATTCCCCAGTTCAGTGTATGTGTGTGAGTGCATTTGTGTGTGATGGTGTGTGTGTGTGTGTGTGTGAGTCCTTCCCGCAGTCTTTTAGTTTGGTTTTGTGTTTATAGTTTTAGGTTTAGGTTTCCTTCTTTGGTTCTGTTTCCCCATTTAGGTAATTATTGTCACCTGCCTTCCCTCCATCCCTCACTCCACACACCTGCTTCCTGTTTCCTTAATTGTTCTCCCTGTGTATTTAAGCCCTGTCTTGTCTCTGTTTGATGGCGGTCCATTGTATTGTTGTCAGCGTTGTTCGTGCTCTATGTGAGCCTTGTGTCTTCAGGTTTTTGGTGCTCGAGTGAGCTTTCGGTGTCCTGTGTCCCAGGACTTTTTGTTCCCAGACTTTGGTGCTCTAAGTGAGCTTTCAGTGTCCTGTGCTCCAGGACTTTTTGTTCCCAGACTTTGGTGCTCTACGTGAACTTTTGGTGTCCTGTGCTCCAGGGCTTTGGATTCTTGGCTCGCTGCCATTTGGATTTATTTTTGTTCTTCCTAAATAAAAGGATTTTTATTTTTACCAACTCCTGCCTCGAGTCATCCTGGGTAATCTGCATATTTGGGTCCTAAACTTCCCCACAACGTGACAAGTGTTTCTTATTGAGGTTACCAGGATAATAAAAGTAACTCAATGGTCCTTAAAACAAGGTGCACCAGTAGTAGTTTTGGCTGAGTGGGACCCTTAAATAATTATTCATCGCTGTAGTTTTTCATTCTGACGTCACAGTTTTGCATTCTGTGTGACTCCTTTTAATTTTGATGATATCACTCAGTGATTGTACCATAAGTTGTTATTATAATCATAGTTAACTTTCAGGCTACACAAAATGCTTTTGTGGTTTCAGACAATAGACCAGTACATTCTGACTGTGATGGCTAAGGACTTGTACGGTGAGCCAGGTGGACACGAAGCAACAGCCACAGTCACCATTAATATAGGAGATGTAAACGACAATCTTCCAACTCTGGAAAAGGATGAGGTACTTGTCTTTTCTTTGTAAACAACATGAAAATATCACATTATGTCCTTTCAAACCAGTTCTTGAATAGTTTTAATAATTCAGAATGCAGTAGTACCCCAATGCATTCTTATTGATCACATAATAAGACAAAAGAAGTCAGAATCAATGTATTGTACTAACAATAGCTCTGTATTTGCAGTATGAGGGAAACATCATGGAAAACCAGTTTGGTGTGGAAGTGATGAGGTTCAAAACGGAGGACTTGGACCAGCAGGGGACAGAAAACTGGGAGGTTGTTTTTGAACTTGTCCAAGGCAACGAGGCGGGGTATTTTAGCATAAAAACAGACCCCAAGACCAATGAAGGCATCCTTATACTTGAAAAGGTAGTTCCTTTATTATATCAGATATAATAATATATATTGTTCGGCTCACGTGTCAGATGAAGTGCTTTTCATTTTAAAGCCTGGCCTGTTCCCTCCTCTCGTTCCTGTTTTCTGTGAAAGACATTACAGCCCACAAAACACACAGAAGGCTTGTTTCACTTTTTGTAAAAAAATAAAACAATAAATAGATTAGAAACTGAATTCATTGCTCAAGTAAAAATCAGTTGTGTAATAAAACTGACACGCACACACAAACACACACGCACGCACACACACACGCACGCACGCACGCACACACACACACACACACACACACACACACACACACTTTCAATTACTGCATATGTTCCAAATTATCTTAAAAAATCTCAGAAAACATCAATACGTGTGAAATTTGCTGATGCATAGAATTTTTTTCAGCACTGTAAAAAAACCATTTCCCCAACTGTCACATTAAATCCAGGAATATCGGACATAAAAGAGGTACTATGATTTTGAGTTACTGAAACTTACATTTTCAAAGAAAATGCCCATGAGAATCCTCTATATGTAGATTTCAAAAGCCAGTGAAAGAATTTCACAGCAATTCAACTAAAACAATCATATCTAAAGATTCAGCTACATTAGATGTAGTAATGTTTTATTATTGTTAATTAATATTTTTTCTTCCCTTTTTGTAGCCTGTGGATTATGAGAAGCTGAAGGACCTTGATTTGGGTGTGGCAGTGAGGAACAAGGCTCAATTTTATGACGGATCTGACTTAAGCAATGTAGCTGATGTTAATTTTGGAGGGGAAGGAGGTGGTGCTGGTGGTGGTGCCGGTGGTGCTGGTGGTGCCGGTGGTGCTGGTGGTGGTGCCGGTGCCGGTGGTGCTGGTGGTGGTGCCGGTGCCGGTGGTGCTGGTGGTGGTGCCGGTGGTGCTGGTGGTGCTGGTGCTGCCAGTGGTGCCGGTGGTGCTGGAGGTCCTGGTGGGGCTGGTGGTCCAAGTGGTGCCACTGGTGCTACTGGTGCTAATGGAGGACCTGGAAGATCACCAAGTGGAGTAAAAACTTATCCCATTAAAATCAATGTGAAAAATCAGCCGGAGGGACCACATTTTGAACCCAAAGTTAAAGCCATTTTAGTCCCCAAAGAAGACAGCGCCATTGACTTAACAAAACCCATTGCCTATTACCCTGCCCTCGATGGGGACACTGGAAAACCCGCTGAGAACGTCATGTTAGTGGATCACACACACACACACGCATGCACGCACGCACACACACAGACTCTGATGATAGAAATTAACTTTCTTCTTGACACATCTGTTTTCATCTTTAGGTATGCCAAGGGCTCGGACCCTGACAACTGGTTTTCCATTGACTCAAACACAGCAGCCATCAAACTCAACAAGGTGCCTGACAGAGAATCTCCATTCCTCGTCAATGGAACATATATTGCTGAAATTCTCTCCATTACAAATGGTAAATATGTTAAAAACATGACTAAATTATAGTTGTAATGATACTTACTACCTCCCCTTCATGTGTGGAAAATAACATAAAACATCAAGTGACCTTTAGAGTTAGTCTGGGTTTATGCCCCCTCATCACCAAGCCAACTAGAATTACAAACTTCTACAGTCAATGATAATTTTCACAAATAAAAATGTTTTAGGAGTGGGATATTGGTGACAGATCTCACTGT